CGGAGGGCGTCCCGGGAGGCGGCTGGGGTCGCGAACTCGAGCGCGACACCTGAGCTGCCGCAGGGCGCCCGCCGCTGACCCGGCGCCCTGTGCCGGGACTGACACGGTTCAGCCACAGCCGGGGACCGGGACCTCCACTTCGGCGTCTCGGGCATTCAAGCCCTGCCCGAGCCTTGCCTTGTCCCCACCGCGAGGCTTGAGGGCCCCCGCGGGAGGTTTAGGAGTCGTTTCGAGGCTCAGATGTCTTGAACTTGTCATTTGTCCACTGCCTGCAAACTTTTCCAAGCGCCCTCGTAGAGCATCGCCCCATCTCGCCCACGGTGTCCTTGTCAACCCCAGGTTTCACCTCTCCTCGTCTTTCTGATTTTTCCCTTTTCAGACCTGTGGAAATCTGACCGAGGGATACAGGAGTGGAGTGAGTCCAGCTGCCCTGTGCTGAAGGAAAAAGTCGCCTGGCCACGAAACCATCCGGGTGCTGGAGACGTGCACCCACCCATCCTGGCGGGCCTTGCGGGAGGACCAACAGCAGGAGGGCTTTCCGCCAGGCCCTGGGGTTGTACTTTCATGCACCAGCAGCCACCCCCATCCGCCTTATGCAAGTCGGTACCCGCCCTTGGCAGAAGCCGGCTTTCTCATCAGCGTCTTTAGATTTTCCCACACTCAGCCTAAGCGTTGCTTCTCCACGGATCGGTGAGTTTCGTTATGGCCAGAGCTCAGGTGAGGTTAATGGACTTGGATGACCAAAGGTCAGGACTTGGTCATAACAATGACTTTATTACCAGAAGGACAAGTCAAAGGATAGGACGGCCTGCCTGTGAACCTTAAGGCTGGCCGCTCTAGCTTGGGTAACCCTGTCATCCAGCAAGCATAACTGCACTGGGAAAATTGCGCCTAGGAATGTTTGTTCTGCTGAGTATCCTGTTGTCCTGCACCAGTGGATGCCTGTACTCCCTGCTCGTCTTTACGATGTGGTCAGTTAAGTTACTGTGTTGAGGGTCCTGCCTGTAACTTTGCCTTTAGCGGTGATATTCATTAAGGAAAAGAAAAAGCACCCTGAACCAGGCCTTTTTATTGGGGATTAACTCACTAAATTATTTTCTCTTAATACTTGCTTTAATTTAAAATGTCACCTGACTGATAGTCTACTTGAGCATCCTTTCAAGGTAATATGTTTCATTTCTGACAGGATTTAGAGACCTGAAACATCACAAAAGCTTCTGGGTGGTTCTGAGGATTAAAGAGGTAAATACTTTAAATAGAGTCATTGCTGCTATTAGTATGTATTTTAAAATTTTATAGAGTTGCTATCAACTCACTCTTGCAAAAAAGTCCCAACTAAAAATATTGAGATCAGATTTACAGCAGATAGCAGTGCACTCTGAAGAGTTACCTAAATGCAAAACCACTGTAATAGAGGGTAATAGGATTCCTTCTTGGTGTTCAGTGAGGATCCCGTGGCCTTGGAACTTGAGTCTTCATTGAACGTAGCTGTCTGTTTCTGAAGGCTCCATCCCATAGCCCATGGTCAATGAAGGCTGATTTTGAAAGCTGGGTTTTTAAGTATGACCCAGTAAACAACAGATCTTGCTGAGAAACACCAATGTATACTATGGCTCTGTCATCTGGTGAAAAGAGCACTTAAGAAAATAGAGCAAAGATATCACCAAAGTAAACAGAATGGCATGGCTATTGTCTGGAATACACAGGAAAAGTCTAGTCCAAGAGATTTGACCCTTATGAATTAGTTAGGAATGCAATAAAGTGACCATTGTCACTTTTCACAATGTTATGGCAGGACAGGGGAGAATTTAAGGGTACAATATTTGAGGCAAACTGCTTGACTTCACTCTTGGAGTTTCTAAGTCTTGGTTATTATCATAGGTGATTATTTTGCCTACTAGAATGTGTACTTCATGAGGGCAGTGAGTTTAGTTCATGACTGTACCTTCATGACTGCGTCCTTAGTACTTGGAAGAGCACCTGGAACTTAGTATGTGCTCACATTGTGATTATTATTTTTTATTCAGCAGATACATACTTGCTCAGAGCCATGCCACTTCCTTTTCTCTCTCTCATACATCCTCCCTTCAGCTCCAGTGTTATTTAGGTCCCCCTCTCTGTCCACATGACTTTACACATTTATTTAATAAATACTTACATAGCACTTAGTGCTTGCCAGGTACATTTCTAGACACTTTACCAACAATTAACTCATTTAACTTACAATAGCCCTATGAGGAAGATTTATTATTATTTCCATTTTACAGAGATGGGAACACTTAGGTGCCGAAAGGTTAAGTAACTTGTTCAAGGTCATTCAGCTAGGAAGCTACAGACAGGGACTCAAACTCAGGTGATTGAGCTTTAAAGTCCATGTTCTCAACCACCATGTCATGTCGTCTAGCATATTACCTTGCTTTATTTCAGGTCTCAGTAGACTGAATCTATCTGCCCCTCCCCAATTTTATAAATAAAGTTTTATTAGAATACAGTCTTATCCATTTATTTACAATTGACTGTGGCTGCTTTCTGGACTAAGGCATTGTTGAATAGTTGCCACAGAGATCTTATGGTCTGTAAAGTAAAAGATATTTACTCTCTTTTTAACAAAAAAAGTTTGCCGGCCCCTGATTTATTTGATTCTCAGCCCTTGTCCTCATCTGAAGTTTTTTTTTTTTTTTTTTTGGTTGTTTATTTATGACTCTCGTACTAGGTTGTAGGCTCCATGTAAGCTAGGATCTTGTTTTGTTCACCTCTGTGTACTTAGCTCCTAATACAGTGCCTGGCACAAAGCAAGTGCAGATTTGTTTGATAAAGGAACATTACTTTGAACATTACTCAGTGGTGAACCATTGCAAAGTGCTTTGCAATTATGGTCCGCCTTGCCCTTTGACTTTTAAAGGAATTTTCTTAATGAAGATGCTTTCAATGTAATCTCCAGGTTTGGAGGTTGCTATGTTAATACTGCTCATCTTTGGAGTATTGCTTCATGAAGTCCCACTGAGTGGCCAAGATGCACCTCCTCCAGAGACTCCCAGCATTCCTGGCAAACCTCTATATGACTATGCCAGCATCCACTTGCCAGAGGAGCACATTCCCTTCTTTTTGCACAGCAATAGGCATATTGCCACTGTCTGTAAGAAAGACTCCCTTTGTCCATATAAGGTAGGTATCATTTCTTCTCTTACTTATTTTTAAAAGGATGCAATTTAGGCTGGCTTACTGGTTCTGCTTTATAACCTGAACACTGATGGTCGAATTCTAATTTTTGGTTGTCACTGTGAGTCATTCATTGTTTCAGTGTCATCTGATACTTCTAAGTGACTAAACTTTGCTTAAAATTATGCCCTATTCATAAAAGTGAAATTTGAAAGCTAAATCACTTCTAAAACAAATAGGCAACCAATTCTATTCCTATGTTTTGTAAATGAAGCAAATTCGATTTTATGCAGAAAAAAACAACTTGTTAAAAGTAATCGAAAAGAATTTCACACCTTTCTTAAACTGCACTGAGGGTCATTTAGCACTTCTTTCCAGTAATGACACCTCAGCCTCTGTCTCCACATAATTAAGATGGCTACTGTGGACTTCCTTCTGTTTTGAAAGAGTTGGAAAGGTCTCAAATAGGAGGCCATTAAGACGTCTTACACAGACTTACAGATCAAAGCTGGGCATTGTGAGACACTTCCTTTCCCATGCTGCTGGCACAGGAAGGATATGGAAAAGCAAACCTGGGAATCAGACCAGAATTGCTCCTGGGACCTTGCAGACCAGTGTCAGCTCCCTGGCCAGCAACAACTGCTGTGTCCCCCAAGGGCTGCAGGGCTGTCATGTCTTGCAAGGTCTCTGCTGATTTTTTTTTTTTTTTTTTTTTTTTGTCAAGGTCTTGCTCTGTCACTCAGGCTGGAGTGAAGTGGCAGGATTATGGCTCACCACAGTCTCGACCTTCTGGGCTCAGACAGTTCTCCTGCCTAAGCCTCCCAAGTACTAGCTGGGACTGTAGGCTTCCGCCACCACATTTGGCCAACTTTTTGAATTTTTTGAAGAGACAAAGTCTTTCTGTGATGCCCAGGCTGGTCTTGAACTCCTGGGATCAAGTGATCCTCCTACCTTGGCCTCACAAAGTGCTGGGATTGCAGGCTTGAGCCACCACACACAGCCACTCAGCTGATCTTGAATGAGTAAAGCTGCTGATCCATTCAATTTAGCTGACATTCTCTTGGCAACACAATTTGTGTGTGTGTGTGTGTGTGTGTGTGTGTGTGTGTGTGTGTGTGTTTAGAAACTAATTTTAGAATCAATTTACTCACTGAGAAAGGCATTTTCTTAAGCTATTTCAAGAAATTCTCAGTCTATTTAAAATAGAAGAAAAAAGAAATTCTAATTTGAATGGTCTTTAATAGTAAAGCCTAGACCTTTGAAAAATCTTAGAATTCTCTCTGAATATCAGAAGAAGAGACCTGTCTAAATGTACATGTTTTATGTTCTAGAAACACTTAGAAAATCTAAAGTACTGCTGGGGTTATGAGAAATCCTGCAAGCCAGAGTTCAGGTTTGGTTACCCTGTTTGCAACTATGTTGACATGGGATGGTAAGTTTCCATGTGGAATAACCTTTCTCTTTAAGTCTCCTTATTTCTATGCGCTGTTGATGCCTTGATTCCCAACTAGAGTCTTTGGTTTTAGATAGTAATTACTTTAGATACTAATTTGCTTATACAGTCAGGAATTCAACTTGATTCTCACATACTGAGTTAGAATATTTGTCATTTCCTCTGCCAGAGGAAGAAAACAGTCAGGACCATAGAAAATATTTTTCTGGTAGTATATGCTAAGAAGATATATGGATGGTTTTCTCTTGATTCTGCTAGGGAGAGCTAAGAATAATCAGTGCTTCCAATACATGTAAGTTTAACGTGGTAAAGAAAATACAGTAATTAAGAATGCATTATTGTCTTCAGTTCCAGATGATCCTAACTTCATACTTTTATAAATTTCATATTTTTATGATAAGGGAATAAGTCTGTGAATAATTTATTTTGATAACTTTATGTTGTAACTTTATGGTTTTGGGAAAATTATATTAAAGTAATAACAGACTTCTAGCAATTTAACCTTTAGGAAGAAAATTCACAGTCCAGAAAAAGTAAAAAGAATAAAATCATGGAATCTTTTTCTTTGCAAATAGGACGGACACTCTTGAGTCTGCTGAGGACATATTCTGGAGACAAGCTGACTTTGGATTTGCCCAAGAACGGCTGGAGGAGATACATGTGCTCTGTCAGCCTAAGAACACAGTAGGTGTTTAACTCCTTCATCAATGAGCTTGGTTAGTTTTATTGCTTATTACGATTATTTATTTATTTATTTTTTGAATTGGAGGCTCACTCTGTTGCCCACGCTGGAGTGCAGCGGCACACTCACAGCCACCACAGCCTTGACCTGCAGGGCTCAGGCGATCCTTCCTCTTCATCCTTCCAAGTAGCTGAAACTATAGGCATGTGCCACCATGCCAGGCTAATTTTTTGATTTATTGTAGAGACAAGGTCTCGCCAAGTTTCCCAGGCTGGTCTCGATCGCCTGGTCTCAGGCTATCCTCTCACCTCGGCCTCCCAAAGTGCTGGGATTATAGGTTTGAGCCATCACACCCAGCCTTGATTTATTTATTTTTATTTGTTGTTGTTTAGATTGTAACAGAGAACGAGATGGATAGTACTATGAAAGGCATCCCTAATTCTCAGTTATGTAGTTAGCATTTATTTAACTTCCTCAGATAGGTTGTTCTGTTTCCTTTGGAACCCTGTCCTCCTTATCACACATATATCACGTAGTTATATTTGAGACAGTTAAAATATTTTTAGGTATAGAATTCCCTCCCAACATGTGCTAAAGTAGAGAAACTGATAAATTTCATCTTTGCGAATTTATTCTCAGGTAGTTTGAAAGAGATGATATACTCCCACCTGATGTTCTATAATTTGCTTAGCACTTTATAGTTTGCAGAAAGCTTTTCTACATGTTATCTAGTTTGTTACTCATAAGCATTATAGCAGATAGACAGAAGCCACTTTATCAGCATGGGAAACAGTCATCAGAGAAGTTCAGCAACTTCCCCAAGACTATGCAGCTACTCTGTAGAATTATACATATTTGCTAGATGTGGTGGCTTACACCTGTAATCCCAGCACTTTGGGAAACCAAGGTGGGAGGATTGCTTGAGGCCAAGAGCTCAAGACCAGACTGGGACACATAGCAAAACTCCATCTCTATTTTTTTTTTTTGAGTCGTAGTCGCACTCTATTGCCCAGGCTGGAGTGCAACAGTTATACCTTTCACATCCTCAACCTGCTGTACTCAGGCGATCCTTCTATTTCAGTCTTCCAAGTAGCTGAAACTACAGATGTGCACCACCATGCCTGGCTAATTTTTTTTTTTATTTATTGTAGAGGTGAGGTCTCACCAAGTTGCCCAGGCTGGTCTGAAACCTCTGAACTCAGCAGTCCTCTTGCCTCTGCCTCCCAAAGTGGTGGGATCACATAGATAAGCTTCCATGCCCAGCCTCCTATCTCTACAGAAAAAAAAAAGTGTATACATCTAGAATTAAAATGCAGATCTTTTTTCAGTGTACTTTCAACCATACCACATTATACCTCAGTGGGTCAGACAAACATGGTGCCAAAAGGTGGTTTGGGGCAGTAAATACAGGCTCTCAACTATAGGGCTCAAATTCTGACTCTTGGACAGGTACTTAGTCTTTCCATAACTCCAGTTCCTCTGTCATAAAACCATGTGTATTTTATAGCATACGGTAAGGATGAAATGAGGTTCTGCATATAAAAATACTTAGTGCAGGGCCTGGCTCCCAGCAAAGGGCTGTGTTATTTTTCAAAGGTTGATGGAGTTGCAAGCACTTCAGATTAAGGTGCACTATTCTTTAACTCATTGATCCTGAACGCTAAGTCTCTGATATCTCAGAAGTCTTCATTATCTCCAGCTAACCTGGGAAACTGGAAAAAAAAGTTAAATTTACTTGCATTAAAAAACTGAATATATGCTTTATATTGCTATTGGAAGTTGTCACATAAGAGAGCTTGGAGCATTCTAGTGAAGTGAATGAAGCCCCAGGTTGCTTGCAGGGTGCCTTTAACAATGTTGTGTCTTACTTTGCACGCTTGGCTGGAGTCTTTGTGAAAAGGGCTAGAGAAGAGCCATAGCCCCATCTTGCACACCTCTTTCAAGGTGGCCTGTAGAATACTTTTTTGGCTAAGATTTACCTCGATATGTTTTGTGCTTTCAAAGTGTGATCCCTGTCTTAGCTAGTTTGGGCTGCCATAACAAAGTACTATAGACTGGGTGACTTTTAAACTACAGAAATTTATTTCACAAAGTTCTGGAGTCTGGAAGTCCAAAGTCAGGGTGCCAGTGTGGTTGGTTTCTGATAAGGGCTTTTTTTAGGTTGCAGACAGCCAACTTCTCCCTGTCTCCTCACATGATGGAAGTAGGGTGCGAGAGCTCTCTGGAGTTTCTTTTATAAGGGCACTAATCTCACTCATGAGAGTTCCACTCTCGTGACCTAATTGCCTCCTCAAAGCCTCACTTCTAATAATATCACATTAAGGGTTAGGAGTCCAACATGTGAGTTTTGCAGAGGAACATACTTTCAGTCCATTGCAATCTTTTTCCAACTACAGACTCAAAGCACCATGCAGGTCAAGTTTAAGACCTCATGTATACTGGAAGTTTTGAGAAAAACAGTTTAAAAATGCTTAACTCCAGGGCAGATAAAAGTTTCTGAGGCTTTTTCTTTTTCAGCAAAACCAAGATTGGTTGAAATAGAAACTGGCTCTGGTAGTTGACTCTTAAACTGCTTTGTTCAATTATTTAGAAAATATTGCCCTCATGTTATTGTTAAAATGGAGGGTCCTTCAAGTTTTATGGTTTGCAGAAAGTATGTCTTATTAAAACTGGCAAAATGCCCTCCTCTACCTTTAATGTCTCTTACGTGTACATTCTTCCTGGTTTCATTTGGCTGCTTTGAAAAATGCTTTTTCACATAGCTGTGGGGGTAGGACCATTGCTGAAGCTTTTTTTTTTTTTTTTTTTTAGTCAGACGCCCACTCTGATGACCAGGCTTGAGGGCAGTGGTATCATGGCTCACGGCAGCCTCCACCTCCTGGGCTCAGGTGGTCCTTCTGCTTCAGTCTTCTCGTAGCTGGGACTATAGGTCCACACCACCATGCCTGGCTAATGTTTAAATTTTTTTTGTAGAGATGAAGTCTCACTATATTGCCCAGGCTAGCCTTGAACTCCTGGGCTCAAGCAGTCCTCTTCCCTCGGCCTTCCTAATTGGTGGGATTACAGGCATGAACCACCGTGCCTGACCTAGGCTTTTTTTTAAGGGACTGAATTGAACCATGAGGACCAGAGCTCTTAGCTTTAAAGTTCAGGCAGTACCGATAAAGCATTTGAGAATTCTTTGTTGTAACCTAAACATGTAGAAACTGGCAAAAGTATGCTTGGCCAAGGTCTGCTGGGAAGGAGAAAACAATTCTTGAGCAGATGCAGTGTTTGGAAAGTTTTCCTCCTCATGTTGTGTGGTTTGAATCTGAGGTATACATGACATCAACATGTCTAGCAAGTCTGGGTGAGTCCTCGCAGTGTTAATACTCAGAATTATTATTTTCTTTTTCTCAATCTTCAGAGTGACTCAAGCCTGATATGTTCCCGTTACCTTCAGTACTGCAGAGCAACCAATCTCTACCTTGATTTACGAAACATCAAGAGAAATCACGACAGGTACTTATATGATGGGTGTTGAAATTGAATAGGAGTTCTGAAATGTTTTTAGGCCCAGAGATAGGTCTTGGATTTGCTCCCTGACAATATGGCAGAGAGGCTGGGGAATGGGTGGGGAGTAGATGACCCAGACTGACCATAAATTTGATCACCTTGCAAAGGTGGATCATAGATTTATCAGGTTCCTTCTGTGATTTTGCTACTTTTGTATACATTAAAATTTTTCTATTATAATTAAATTCTAATAAAAAACTGAGTTTGGAAATTGGTACTCCACTTTAGTTACAACCCATGTACGTAAGTCCTAAAGAAATTTCCTGAGCTCAACTTAATTTTTTTGTTATACACTAGATTTAAGGAAGATTTCTTCCAGAGTGGTGAAATTGGGGGGCACTGTAAACTTGACATTCATACATTGATGTCTGAAGGCCAGCGCAAGAGCCCTCTGCAGTCATGGTGAGATTTTTTTTTTTTAAGCATTTGTTTCTGAAATGTTTACCTTTAGTTTTGACACTTGCAGATTTTTGTGGGGACTCACAAATGGAAAACGTTCCTTCATTTGTAGATAATTTGGCATGACCTTCTGTGGAGTGATGGCAACTGAGTGTATTGGATACCTCCATCGTATCTGAGTTAAATATATGTTTAGAATATGGTAGGAAGTATGATTTAGTACCTACTGTCTGCTAATGAAAGACAAAAAATCAGCACAAAAATACATTTTTATTAACTTATAATTGTTGTATGTGCCTTGGGGAACACATTTGAAAAAAATACACATATGAGATATATATAATGAGCTTACAGAAAAAGGTACAGTTTGAATTATGAAAAAGTGAACCCACCCATGTACTTCTCACCCAGATCAAAAAGTGCTGGGATTATAGGTGTGAATCACCACACCTGGCCTAAAACTTTGTATTTTAAAATAATTTTATATTCATAGAAATTTAAACATAGTACAAGGAGTTCTCATTGTCCCATTACCCCAGCTTCCTCTAATGGTAATATCTCATATAACCATAGCACAATGATCAAAACCAGGAAACTGATATTGATACAGTGGTATTAACTGAACACATGTGAATTTTACCAGTAATTGCATGCACTTATGTAAAATTTTATTGCATGGGTAGGTTCATGTGACCACCACCATGATCAGGGTGCAGAATTGTTCCATCACTCTAAAGAAACTCTCTCATGCTTTTTCTGTATAGTCACATAGGTTGCTCATATAATGTTCATTTTTATGGCCAAACATTTATGCTAAGCAAACCAATCAGAATAATAATCTGAAATGTTTGGCCATACATTTATATGGCATTTTACAGTCTGCAATGTGGTCTATTGCTGTAACAGACCTTGTATAACTACCTACTATAGGTAGTTCCTATATTCTAGTGGACTTTCTGATTCCTAGTACATTTTCATATCTGGTTCCCTGTGATAACTCCCTAGGGTATAATTGTATGAGTTATTTGTAGCAGTGTAGCACATTATTCCAAAGTATAATCTAGGTAAATCTGTGTTCATTATCTTTTTTATTTTTATTTTTTGAGTTGAGGTCTCTGCTGCCCAGACTGGTATTTAGTGACATGATCACAGCTCACCGTAGCCTCTAAGTCCCGGCTCAAGCAATCCTCTCTCCTCAGCCTCTTGAGTAGCTAGGACTATAGGTACCTACCACCACACCTAGCTAATTTTTTGATTTTTGATTTTGTAGAGTCAAGATCTCACTATGTTGCCTAGGTTGGTTTCGAATTCCTGGGCTCAAGCAATCCTCCTGCCTCAGCCTCCCAAAGTGCTGGGATTATAGACATTAGCCACCACACCTGGCTTGTTATCTATTGTTATATAACAAATTACTCTAGAATTGGCTTAAAACGACAAAACTTTATTGTCTCACGTGTTTCTGACGGTCAGGATGTAGGAGCAACCAGGCGGGTCTTATGAGGAGTAGTAAACCTGGTAACCAGCGCTGTAGCCATCTCTAGGCTCATCTGAGCTCTATGCCTGTAGAATCTGCTGCTGAGTTTATTCAGGTTGTTGTAAGCCTCAGTTCTTCTCTGACTGTTGGCCAGAGGCTTCAAATTGTACCACATGGGCCATTCCCTGGTCTACTCATAGCACAGCAGCCGGTTTCCCCAGGAGCACGTGGTCTAAGCTCATGCCCCAAGATGGAAGCTGCAGTATTTGTGTAACCTAATGTTAGAAGTGACATACGTTACTTCTGTATTCTGCTCATTAGAATTAAGTCACTATGTCCAGCCCACCCTCAAGGGAATGGAATTAACTTCCCCCTTTTAAAGGAAGAAGTATTAAAAAGTTTCTAGACATATTTTTGAAACCACCACGATATTTTGGCATTGTGTTTTAAAGGATCTATTTGATATTTGTTTTATATGAGATGTGATCTCAAAGATGAAGAATTAAAGACGATCTTTATGTTGACTCAAAATATCTCACAATTGTCACATGCCTGTGTGATTGTCTTCTTTTGTTTGGAAGAAAATTATGCCATCTGGCTTCTGAGGATGTTTTTGAAGAAATAAATTTCCTTTTTTCTGGGAGGTTAGCTGTCTGCTGTCTTTCAGAGGCACTGGATGGTTCTTAGAACCCCATCTTTCTCAGAATCGAAGAAGTCTACCTTAAGAGTTTCTTTGGCCCATTGTTCCTTTTTATTCTTGTCTGGAAGGTTTTTTAATCTTTCCACTTTACTGGTAGATTATTTGGCCAACCCAGTATATTCTTTGTGTGATAAGTTCCAGATTTAATTATCTTACACTTTAGAATTTTAAAATCATTTTTGTTCCTTGTCTCAGCATTAAAATTGATGTCAAATTAGTTAGGCTGGACGCAGTGGCTCTCACTTGTAATCCCAGCACTTTGGAAGACTGAAGCGAAAGGGTCACTTGAGCCCAGGAGTTTGAGACTAGTCTGGGCAACATAATGAGACCTCATCTCTACAAAAAAATTAACATTAGCTAGGCATGGTGGCATGTGGCTGTAGTCCCAGCTGCTTGGGAGACTGAGGCAGAAGGATCACATGAACCCAGGGGGCTGAGGCTGCGGTGAGCTGTGATTATGCCACTGCCCTACAGCTACAGGTTGAGACTCCAACTCAGAAGAAAAAAATTGATGTCAAATTATATAAATACCAGTAAGTTTTAGAAGTTACAGGTCTCCATAGAAGTTTCTTCACAAACTAGAAATAAAATTTGCCTAATGAAATGATCCTAAGTTGCAACATTGCAGTAGGAAGTTTGGGAGAATCACTTTGAAATCATATCCCAATTCATGATTCCAGGTTTGCTGAGTTACAAAGCTATACTGAGCTCAACTTCAGACCTATAGAAGGTGCTGAATGTGACATTGTTATTGAAAAACCAACGTATTTCATGAAACTAGATGCAGGTGAGAAGTTGATTTGTTATTTATGTATTTGTTAATGAGGTTTTACTCCTTTTTTCTGGATATATGTATATAGTAATTCTCTATGGTTTTTCTTGGAAGCAGTATGACAAACAGTAAATTTTCTTTTTGCTTTCTTCTCTAAAGAAGTCAATGAACTAGTTTGAACTTCTCATTATTTTATACTTTTGGTATTTTAGATGAAACCCCTTCACTTTTATGTCAAAGGACTTAATCAAAATCAAAAGATGACAGAAGAAAGCATATATACACCTTTTATAACTAAATTTACCCCATCTAGTTTTTCTAATCATTTAATTTATATTGTGCTTCATTAAAATTTTTTTAAAATTAAAAGCCATGTGGACAGCATGGGTGGGAAAGAAATGTCCATGACCTCCTCTGGCAAAATTTCTAATACCACTTCTGTGACTAAAGTGAATTTAAAATTCTTCTGGAAATTACCACTGCATATATTTTTGAAAAAAATTAAAATCATTTTTCCATTTACATCTATGGTGTCTCTGAACTTGTAAGCATAGCCCTAACTTTGTGAACTAGTTGCCTTGGAGAGGAGAAACACAGACTGTACTATATTTTCTCTCTCATTACAAGAGACAGAGATTACTATGCTATACCGTATCAAAATTCATGAGAGGTTGGGCTTATAGTGAAATATAGAGAGCCCTCTGTCACAAATATTTCAAAATTACTATAATTTATTGATCACAGTTTTAATGTGCTCTGCCTTCTGAAGTCATAATTCTTATATTGCAAAGCATTAAGTTCAGAAATCAGACAAGTTTAAGTTTCTGAAATAAGAGCGAGTAAAAATGCTATGTTTGAGGCTCTGACTCATTTTTTAAAAATATGCACATTAAAAAGGGGCAAAGAAAACACTGTGATCTGCCTGTAAAAGAGGTGAAAATGTGTGAGCTATGAAATGTATGCAGGTACTTATGCAATAAAGTATGCAAAGTGGGAATAACAGGTCAGGGTACACAGTGCCATTTATTTCCTATATTCATAACTCGACTGACTTTACTTCTCACTTATGCTGTCATCTAGTTTTCCCTTTTGTATTAACTCTTACCTTGGGAGAATGAGCAATCTACAGAACAAGGCTCATTAGAGGCACATTCTTGGGGACAGAGACTGTTTTCTCGCTTGTTTATTAATCTTTGTGGCACCAAGCACTAATTTGTGCCTGTGGCATTTCCTCATAGCTGTTAGGAACTAACTGAGTGTTTCATGAGAGAGCTCATGTGTGCTGTGTGGCTAACTTGGGAGAAGGGAATGGATCCTGGTAGAACTTTACCTTTCTTGTTTATTTGAAAATATACTTTTTTGTGGGTAAAATAATTAGCCCTTCTAAATGATTATCTAAGATAACAGGCTGAAAAGAACTGAATATTTTTTACTCTTATTTTCTGGTACATAATGTTGTTATTCACTGTGGTAATGAAGACAAAATATTTTGTGATTTCTGCTTTTGAGTCATTGCTTTTCTTTTCTTGAGTCAGGATCTCACTCTGTCACTCAGGCTGGAGTACAGTGGCACAGTCACAGCTCACCACAGCCTCAACCTCCTGGGTTCAGGCAATCTTTCTTTCTCAGCCTCCCGAGTAACTGGCACTATAGGCGTGTGCCACCACGCCTGGCTAGTTTTTTTTAATTTTTATTTTTTGTAGAGATGAGGTCTCACTGTGTTACCCAGGCTGTTCTTGAACTCCTGGGCTCAAGCAACCCTCCTGCCTAGGCTTCCCAAAGTGCTGGGATTGCAGGTATGAGTCACCACACCAAACCTGTATTTTTTTTTTTTTTAATTTTTCTAACTCAACATTTTCCCTCCTTTAAAATGTATGTTTGAATTGTTAGTTCTTGGAATTTTATCCTATTTAGACTTGTATATTTCCAGACTGAATACTGGGCCTGTATACCTAAGTGGAGAGGAGGGTGCACGTTCTGTTCCTTTTTAATGACCTAAATGTGAATTTACAAATAGTGGCATCCACAGCCCTTTCCATTCTATCTGACCTAGTGGGATCCAGCTAGTCTTCATTAAGGTCTCCCTGTGTGCCAGGCACTGGAATGGGTGCTTTAAGATATATTATCTTTGAATTTGCCATGACAAGGCTGGCAGTATATGTAACTATTTCCCATTTCTAGTGGAAAAGCTCAAGCTTAGGGGCTTTACGAACTCATCTAATAATGTTGCACATGAGTGACTGCACTGGCATTCAACCCAGTTCTTCTGTCTCCAGAGTTCCTATTGTTTCAATTAGAACACGAGACATTCACCTCTTTTGAACCATAGTTAATTAATATTTTCCCAGTAAGACTATTATAAGTAATGATTAAACAAGAAAAAAAGAGGCAAGAATGCAAATATCCAAAATGTTAGTTACCATCATTGACAGTACTTTTGTGATGAGCAGATGTTGCCTAAACATTATGCATTTAAAAATTAATGATCAAAAGAAATAATGATTAGTCTTCATGGCCCTATAATTCTACCTAGTTTTGCGTTAAGCAGACCTGCATTGTTTTTTTCTGGAAACTTAATAATTAATTGTTACTTGGCATATATGGGAAAATGCATTCCTGCGTTCTAAACAACCATTTTTTTTTTTTGAGTCAGGGTCTCACTCTGTTGCCTAGGCTGGAGTGGCACCATCACAGTTTATCACAGCCTTGACCTCTTGGGCTCAGGCAATCCTCCTGCCTCAGCCTCCCGAGTAGCTGGGACCTCAAGCATGTACCACCACCTGACTAATTTTTATAAATTTTTTTGGTAGAGATGGGATATCGCTATGTTGCCTAGGCTGGTCTTGAACTCCTAGGCTCAAGCAGTCTTCCTGCCTCAGCCTCCCAAAGTGCTGGGATTACAGGTATGAGCCACTGCACCTCACCTCTGAACAACCAACTTTGAAGTGAATTTTTGAACCCAATCAGTCTGTAAATCGAGGACTATCTGGTTTTAGATCATTTCATGTTTGGAAACAAACTCTTTTTCTTCTCCATTTATTTAAACTAAAAGTCCATTAAACTATAAATAGGTGGGGTAGAATAAAAATTGTTTCTTGTGTTCTTTGGGATTAATTAACATAGATTTTTTTTTCCTACCCTAGGTGTTAACATGTATCACCACTTCTGTGACTTTGTCAATCTTTATATCACTCAACATGTTAATAATTCCTTCAGTACAGATGTGTATGTCGTGATGTGGGACACTGTAAGTAAGAAGGCGCTCTCGCTTCAACACTGTCTTTATCTTGCTCTGTCAGTGTGTGACTCTGATCTTTGTGAAGGGATTTGCTGAGACACATGTAAACATACACACCCATACACACATCCATATGCAGACAGATGGGTGTGAATGTGTCTGCATATATGCATTGACGTGTAGATGTACTTACAGGCAGAGATACAAGTATGTGTGTACCTTTGTTCTTTGAATTTTAGAATAAGACGATGGAATAATCTTTTCCCCTTTTGGGTGGGTGCGGCCCCAGAGACCAAAAATTCAGGGATATGATTTGGTGTTCCTCTGAGACAGACATTTGAAGGCTTTCATTCATTGTACCTGGGGATCCCACATTGGAAGAACTTGCCTCTATTTACTGTTTGGCTTCTTGCATTTCCTGTCGCCCTTTGCTTAATAGCAACTTCTTTGTTACTACTTCCTTTGTGCCAAATTGTGCTGTGTTTCAGCTCACTATATAGGGCGAGTTGTAGGCATATACATAAATGTATGTGTTGAATTATACTTGCTGTTTGTTTGTTCTTAGTGTAGTCTTTTTTCCCCCCCTTCTCTTTCTTTGGCTGCCTTTTTCCTCCTGTTTTGGCTCTTCTACCTGCCAAGGAAACACCAGAATGTGTCCCAGTATCCTCAGCTGTGAAATGGGATAATCAGAGTACCTACCACAGGTCGTTTGGAGGATAAACCATATAGTGTGTGAAGGGTCACAATGCCTGGTGCACAGTACATGTACTCTGAGTGTTAACTGTGACAGCAACAAGGAGAACACATGGTTTGTAGTACACACAAGAGAGGTTGCCTAACCTAGGAAGCTGGAACAACCCCCAAGGGGTCATCTAAGATTCCACTAAACATTTTGACACACAAGACACTCACACATCCCACTCTTGGCATGAGTTTACTCAGACCATAATGCAGGGGAACTACAGCTGATGGGCAGAACAGCCTCAAGCATTTTTTTCCAGGGGAATGTTAGCAGTCCACACGGCACAGCTCTGGTACAAGGAGAGGTGATCGCCTGGGGCAGGCACAGATCACCCACAGGGGCCAACATTTCCTGGCATAACTGCATTGGCAAAGCCTCCAGCATCTTTGAAAGAGGTATGCCCAGTTCCAAAAATCATTGTACTCAGTGAAGCCTAAACGTGGCTTTCCCAGTCTCGATTCCATTTACCCATCCAATGTCTTTTTTTCTTAGAAACAAGGTCTGGATCTGTTGCCCAGACTGGAATACAGTGGATCATTCATAGCCTTGTTGCAACCTCAAACCCCTGGGCTCAAGTGATTCTTTGCCTCAGCCTCTCGAGTAGCTAGGACTACAGGCACACACCACCACACCCAGCTAATTTTTGTATTTCTTGTATGGGGTCTCATATGTTGCCTAGATTGGTTTCAAACTCCTGGGCTCAAGAGATCCTCTTGCCTTCGCCTCCCAAAACACTGGGATTACAGCCACCATGCCTGGCCTCTTCAAGCTTGTTTTTAGTCAGAAGCAATTTTGCTAGAAACATAGTTGACAGACACCAACTTCGTTTCCAGAGAACAAAGCTAACCAGTTAATGGAAGGTCAAATTCTCATGCTGAAGGGAACAGAGTTTGATGACCCTTTTTTTCCATAGGTACAAGGCTTATAATAGAGCTGCATAGAAAGGTTTTCATGATCACTGCTCCTTAGACTTTTAGTTTGACTTGAAGTCTGATGAGAATTGATTCTATGATTCTTAGCATGTTTTTTTTTTTTTTTTTTGAGTTGGAGTCTCACTCTACTACCCAGGCTGGAGGGCGGTGGCACGCTCATGGCCACCGCAGCCTTGACCTGCTGGGCTCCTGCGATCCTTCCACCTTGGCCTTCCAAGTAGCTGAAACTACAGGTGCACGCTACCACGCCTGGCTAACTTTTTATTTATTTTAGAGATGAGGCCTTACCAAGTTGCCCAGGCTGATCTTAAACCCACGGGCTCAGGCAATCCACTCACCTTGGCCTCCCAAAGTGCTGGGATTACAGGCTGAGCCATGGAGCCCAGCCCTTAATGCTTTCTTTTGGTTTCTCTCTCTACATACATTTACATTTCCTCTTGTGTTTTTGTTTTGCTGCCACCACGGTTTCATTTCTTGGAAATGTTTCTGTGAGCAAAGAGAACACCAGTGTCTTTCTTTTCTATTTTTGGTATAAGTGCTTTTAAGCCACAATCACCAGCTTTCACAAGTCCTGAATGATTAACTCAGGGTTGTTTTGCCTTTTTTTTTACAGGGTAGGATACAAGGTTGCATTTTTTTTTTTTAATTACACTTGATGTTATCTCATGTAATGCTCACAACCTCTTGTGGACTTGAGTTTTTATTAGCTTATTTGACAAACAGGAAACTGAGGCCTGAATGTGAGTGTTCTAAGATAACTAGTCAGTGAGGGGTGGAACCAAGGATTCCTATCCAGGTAGCCTGACCCCGGGGTCTGTGCTGGGAAATCACAGTGCTCTATCATTTTTCTAAAGTTCTCTAAAGAACTTGGTGAGAACGTTTCTTAAACACTTTCCAGAAGCTTCTTTGTTCCTTGTTATGTGCTTTTCCACATCTTCCTCACCTAGTCTAAGTTAAACTGAGCCAGCTTTTCCAACCTTCCCCTTCTCTGTACCTGCTGGGTGGGAATAGGATGCATCGCCATCATAAAGATCCCAGGTTACTCAGTTAACTGACCCTATGATGTTAGAGCTGTCTGACCTCGACTCTGGCATGGAAAAGCAGGGTGGATGCAGCTGAACCTCCTTCCTTTGCGTCTATTTTAAATGCACATTCTTGGTCAGAGAGGCCTTTGCTAGCTACTCAATCAAGTTTTCTAGACAGGCAACTCTGCTAGATGGCTCCAGAATTCAGGCCCACAGAAGACTGCAGGTTGGATGAGAACAGTGCTAAGTAAGGGATGGTATGGCTGCTGTTTCTCTTTGGTTGGTAAGCCTTTAAATTAAGCAATATCGTGATCTGCAGGCTGACTGTGACATGAATCTCCCACAGTAAACAATATTGCCAGAGTCAGTCCTGAAGGCCTCTGATTTGCAGTTCACCCAGGGGAAGAAGAGGGAGAAAACTGTGACTGCAGTTCAGATTTTGGTGAAAACTGTCCCCACAAGGAAGCCTATGGGGCCTACCCTGTCTTCCTCCCAAAGCTCAGCGATTTGGTCACTCCCTTCAGCATGTGGTTTCCTCAGTGGGATGGGCAAGGCCACCAACCTCCAAAGATATATAGAAGAGTACTTCTTGAGGTGATTTTCTGGGCACAGTGGGTCTGCTCTTCTTAAATGAAATTAATAAAAGGGGAGATTACTGCAGACTTTCCACATTTTCTTGTGCTAAGAGGTAGTATAGCTTTCTTATTATCTTTTTAATTATGAAAGTAATACCTGATTATCCTGATTATAATGAGTTGAGACAACACAGAAGTATGTGAACTTTAAAAAAAGTCTCCCTCCTCTCTGATTCTATTTTCCCCCAAGGGTGGCTGCAGTTAATGTGTATGAGTCCCTTGCAAGAATCTTTTTAGTTTAATACATGTAAATATATCCTTATACAAAATTAACATAAGAATTTGTATAGGGATATGCGTGTGTATACATATGAAATTTGTATAAGAATATGCTTGTGTCCTTATAGAAAATGCCTGAGCACAGTGGTGCATGCCTGTAATTCTAGCACTTTGGGAGGCCAAGGCAGGGGGATTGCTGAGCCTCGGAGTTTGAGACCAGCCTGGGTAGCATAACAAGACCTCATCTCTACAAAAAACATTAAAAAATTAGCCGGGTATGGTAGTATGTGGCTATAGTCCCAGCTACTTGGGAGGCTGAGGCAGAAGGATCACATGAACCCAGGAGGTCAAGGCTGTGGTGAGCCATGAGAATGCCACTGCACTCTAGCCTAGGAGATAGAGTGAGACCCTGACTCAAAAAATAAGTAGATAAGTAGACAATTACAAAAAAAAAGATATAGAGAAAACATGCTTTCTTTCTCCTACTGCTACCCTAATATTACCTCATAAATATCTTTCCAAGTTAGTACATTTAGGATTACCTTTTTTTAAGTGGGTACATGGTATCCCATTTGATGGATATTTTGGAAGTTCGATGTATGCATTAGTGCACATGTTTATCACCCCTGGCCCAGTCACATCCAGTTTGTTTCCAGTTCTTTGCTATTTGCTGAAATGCTTCAGGAAACATTCTTTTTAGATATCTCTATGTTTATAAATGCATCCTAGCATTTCTGCAGGACAGGTTTCTATAAGTGGAATTTCTAAGTCATAGGTAATGTGCGTGTTTAAATTTGAGAATTACATAGAAGGAACTTTTATGTCATCTTGAAGAATATTAAGATATTCTTCAAAATGCGTGTAGGAAGAAGTCCCCTTTCACCCCATGGTAGATAATTTGAATTTGGGGATGTGGAAAAAAAGCTTCTAGATGTGGTTGTTTTTGAATAATGTATAATTTCCCTGAGGAGGGGTCAGTCAGGATTACTATATTTTATTATTTAAATTTCCTTTCAAAGTTGTCTTATTTTATCTGAAGTATATTTTATCTCAAGAAATGGTCTAGAATCACTTCTTTTAATTACCCTTTATTTATTATTGAGCCAGAACAGGGACATTTCATTTTAGATTGTGTGGAGAAGGGTCTTTATTAGAATGGCATTGGAAGAACATCGAAGGAAGGAATTTTTTTTTAATCGCCATATCTATCAGTTCTCAATAACTTTGAAATAGCTTTGTGTCAGTGGGATGGGCAAGGCTGCCAACCTCCAAAGATGTATAGAAGGGTACTTCTTGAGGTGTCACATAAAATTTTCAAAATCTGAAAAAAGAATGCTATAAAGATGAAAAGACATGAACACAATGAACATATTGTATAACTAGCTGTTGACCTTGACTATAATCCTACAATGCATTTTTTTTTATTTCTGTTGGCTGAATTTTGCACTCTAAGTTTGATCATTTAAAAAATAATTGATCTCCTTCCTTTTAGCTGATGGAACTCATAATTGTTTTTTTTTTTTTTGAGTTGGAGTCTCACTCTGTCGCCCAGACTGGAGTGCAGTGGCCGCTCCTGAACTCACAATTAATTTCTTCTACTTTTTTTTTTTTTTTTTTTTGAGTTAGGGTCTCACTCTGTCACCAAGGTTGGAGTACAGTGGCATAGTCATAGCTCACTACAGCCTCAAACTCCTGGGACTAAGCAATCTTCCCAGCTCAGCCTCCCAAGTAGCTGGGACTATAGGTGTGCACCTCTACACCTGGCTAGTTTTTTAATTTTTTTGAGAGACAGAATCTTGCTATGTTGCCCAGGCTGGTCTCAAACTCCTGGCCTCAAGCAATCTTCCTGCCTTGGCCTCCCAAATTGGTGGGATTACAGGCATGAGTTATCGTGCCTGGCCTCATAATTAACGACCACTTTTCAAAAAGGAAGTCCATTTGGTAGATATACTAGAAACAACTAGTTCCCATTGAGAGGTAGCTGTCATATGGTGCTTATGAACCTGAAGTCTGGTAGCTCAGACTGGGTTGAATCCCAGCTGAATATTTAGGGTTATATCAGCGCTACAATTTAGGGAAATTGCTTAAATTTGTGTCTCAGTTTCCTCATCTGTAAAATAGTGATAATGATATTACCTAGCCCGTTAAGCTTGTGAGGTAGCTTAATGTAAGTTAATAATGCCAGTGCCTAGGACATTATTAATAATGTAAGATGCTATTATTATCATAATATTGTCATTATTGACATTATTAATATTAATAGGGAATTATTTACTAACCAATGGGGAGAACATTTCATAAGTTACATATGTTATATTCTTAATGTTAAAACTTTCAAGCCATTTTCCTGCTCTAAAATTACTTGCCAAAACATATTCTATTTACCCTGATGGTTTTGCTTACTCAGCATATCAGAGTCTGTACAAATGGTGGCATATGTATGTGTATGTTGTGTGAATCTGTGATTAGAAAATTCACAGAAAAGAACCCCAGGCAATTTTAATTTCAGAGACGTGAGAACAAAAAGACTTAAGGTGGAAAAACAAAACACTTAGTAGACTAAAAGTATCACTGTGATGATTATTTCTGATATTTCATCAAATTAGGTATTTGCTCAGGCCCAAGAGTATGGTCCATTTTGCCTATGTGGGTTATATGAACTGTTTTGGACCACTAGTCTTTAACACTGATAGGTGAATTCAGGTATTCTTGTTGCATCTTTGAAAAGATGTTATATCCTTTCATTGCCCTAATTTATTTTGTTTCTGCCTTCAGAGTACTTATGGATATGGTGACCTGTTCTCTGACATGTGGAAAGCATTTACTGATTATGATATTATTCATCTGAAAACATACGATTTCAAAAGGGTACTGGAAACTTTACTGAAAAGTCTGTAAATAACTGTTGTGTGCAAATGACTTGCTTATAAAATAAACATTTAATATGAGTTTCTATTAACTATTAGCATTGATTTCTGACTTCTTAGTTTAGTTTTGTTTTTTTGTCAGAGTTTCATTCTCACCCAGGTTGGAGTACAGTGGCACTTTCATGGCTACTGCAGCCTCAACCTGCTGGGCTCTGGTGATCCTTCCATCTCAACCTTCCAAGTAGCTAGAACTACAGGTGTGCACCATGCCTGGCTAGTTTTTTGATTTTGTAGAGACGAGGTCTCTCTAAGTTGCCCAAGCTTGTCTTAAACTCCTGGGCTCAGGCATCCCTCTCACCTCTACTCCCCAAAGTACTAGGCTGCTGCACCTGACATTGGCTTTTGTTTTTGTTTTAGTTATAACTAGAATTCTTAGTTTTTTAAAGCCATACTACTTTAAAAAAAAAACACAACTTTTTTCTATAATTTTTCAAGATATTAATTTTTTTTTCTTTGAAATAGTTTGCTACTCAACTGTTTTTTGTTTTTTTTTAATTAATCAGTATTTTTTATTATGGTTTTGTGGGGTACAGTTAAGGGTTAGGTGTACAATTACATTCATTCAGGCACCCTGTTGATAAGAGGTGTTTTCCCATCCCCCGACAGATATTTGCTACTGTTAATCCCATCCCTCCCCTCCATAGTTTCCCAGTACCGTCAGTCATTTTCTTATAGTATTACATTGGATGTTCAAGGCCCATTATATGAGTGAGAACATGCGATATTCGGATCTTTGTTTCTGTGAGAGGTCACTCAGTATTATAGACTCTAGTTCCATCCAGGTTGCTGCGAAATTCATGATTTTGTTCTTTTTTATGGCTGCGTAGTATTCCATCGTGTGTATGTACCACATTTTTTTAATCCAGTCCTCTTTTGATGGGCAGCATGGTTGTTTCCAGGTTCTTGCTATTGTGAACAATGCTGCGATAAACATACGTGTGCAGGTTACTCAACTGTTGTAATGCAACATGGAGATTAATTAGAATATGTTTTCCAAAATTATAAATGCTATTTTGGTGTCAAGATTTTAAATTATATTCTCTTATCTCTTCATGTGTCTTCCTTCTCAGGTATGTTTTAAAGAAGCTATTTTTTCATTACTCCCCCGCATGAGGTATGGGCTGTTCTATAATACTCCTCTGGTAAGCATATTACCTTCTGTTAATGTTCATATTTATAGACTTTATTCTTGATAGATTTGTTTATACATGACTTGAAAGTATCTTGAATTGCAATACAGAAGTCTTCATTATAATATGAACTGGTGTTTTAATTTTAGATATCTGGCTGTCAAAATACCGGATTATTCAGGGCATTTTCCCAGCATGTACTACACAGATTAAACATCACACAAGAGGGACCCAAGGTAATGGATACATTGAGGGTTCTGAGATGGGCTTGAGTTTTCATCTCTAAATAAAAATGAATACCAGGCAACCCCTTTGGGTCCTCTCCCACTGCAGGAGCTTTTCTGTACTCTCAATAAATCCTGCTTTCTAAAAAAAAAAGTTAATACCACCTTTGCTGAAAAAATAATAATCAGGACTAAGATATCTGTGTTAATGTTTTCCAACCTGGAGTCATCTGAAATCGGTTGTCACCAACCTATGAAAGATAAACTAAAGGATATTATAAGAATGTACATTGTTCTCCTATTCCTTTCTTTGTTTTTTGTCACCTACTCCCAAATCCCCATCTAACTCACACAACCCCTGCCAAAAAATTCACCCATCCATCCACCCACCCACCCACCCATCTGAACAGAGCTGTGTAATGATCAGGTTTGCCTTCATGGCTAAACACTTTTATTCCCTAAGAGAACAGTGAAGGAGTCAGGCTAAAAAAAATGATAGTTTCATGAATGTAACCTTACTGAGTTTCATCTCTCTGTAAAAATCACATTTTAGGTTCAGATGTTCATTCATTTGTCCAGGCATATACAGCATTTTGCCTTTCATTTTGATTACAGGATGGAAAAATTCGAGTCACCATTCTTGCACGGAGCACAGAATATCGAAAAATCCTAAATCAAAATGAGGTTTGTTTTTGGCATGCATTTTTAATATCATCATATTGAATTTACCTTCCCATAACTACTGGTTTTCTTTCACATTATACTAATAGCCTTGGTTTAAAACTACTCATTTAAAGTTTGATGGCCTATGCCCAGTTCATTTATTAGATTTGAATTTCTAGTGGAAGTCACCAACTACCCATTGTCCTAACTAGCTTTGCCTTATTGTAAACATTCATTTGCACCAATTAAGAATAAAAACAGAGACAAAACCTGTGTGAGTCCTGCCTTTACTGGAGTAGATTGCTAAGTATTAACCCTCCAGACAAACTAACAGCAAAACGCAAGAATATCTTTTGGAAAATGGTTGATGGCATGAGGCAATCCTGTAGAAGTGGCAGAAGGTTAAATTGGAGGGATATTCATCTTCTTACATGACCATGTGTCTTAGAGACTGTTTGCATGTTAGGCATTCCAACTCATTTCAGCCATACCAACTCATACATTATATCTACTCTCAATGTGCTCACCATGCAGGGCTCTTACCTGCAACGTCATGACCTGAAGATAGCCCTCAGTAATACAATTTATTCCACAAAGATGAATTGAGCACCTGCTATGTGCCAAGCCATGTTCTAGGCCTGGAGACAGAGTAGAACCAAGCAGGGAAAGTCCCTGTCCTCATGGAGCTTATACTCTAGAGATGAGGGACAGACAAGAAATAAGTAACCAAGTTGGAAAGTATGGTGACTTCAGTGATAAGTGCTTTGTAAGAAATGATCCAGGGTGATGTGGTCAAGCCTGGGGATGCAGATGGAAGTGGGAGGTGCAAGGTGCAAGGTGTCCTGATCAGCAGAGAATCTAGCCACGGAAAGAGCCTCCCGGGCAGAAGTAAATATCCTCTAGTGGACTGAGCTTTAGGTGTTCCAGAAACGGAGGGAACACCCATATGGCTGTGGCTTCGTAAGAGAGGTGATATCACAGTGCTCAGGGAAATCAGGCATGTGTGAGAGAACACAGATCATAGTAGCCACCTAGACCTCAGTGAGGAGATGGGTTTTATTACAGTGTGAGGGAAAGCCATTGTGAAATTTTAAGCAGGAGGCAGTAGGCAGAATAATGTCTCCTTTCTCTCCCAAAAGATGTCCACATCTAAATCTCTGGAACCTGTGAATAGGTTAGGTTATGTAGCAAAGGGAAATTAAGGTTGCAGATGGAATTAAGGTCCCCAACCAGCTGGCCTTAACATAAGGAGATTATCCTGGATTAGCCACGTGAGCCCCATGTAATCACAAATAGGCCTTAAACTTCATCCACTGGAGAACTTTTGTCTCCGCCTGAAAGGCTTGTTTCTTTTTTGTTTGTTTGTTTGTTTTTGTTTTTTGAGTCGGAGCCTCACTCTGTCACCCAGGCTGGAGTGCAGTGACACGCTCATGGCCCCCACAGCCTTGACCTGCCTTCCGCCTCAGTCTTCCAAGTAGCTAGAACTACAGGAATGTGCCACCATGCCCGGCTAATTTTTTGATTTGTTGTAGAGATGAGGGCTCTCCAAGTTGCCCAGGCTGGTCTCGAACCCGTGAACTCAGGCAATCCTCTCACCTTGGTCTCCCAAAGTGCTGAGATTATAGGTGTGAGCTACCCTGCCCAGCCAGAAAGCTCATTTCTTAGCTGGAGTCTTCTCATTTATCAGTTCTCACTTCATCATTTCCTTAAAAATGACAGAGGGAGGCAGGAGAGTCTGAGAAGGAGATGTAAGGGAAGTAGGGTCAGAGAGATACAATATTGCCAGCTTTGAAGGTGGAAGAAAGGAGGAGCATTGACCAGGGAGCATGGATGGCTTCTAGAAGCTGGAAAAGACAAGGGGGGGAGTTCTCCCCTAGAGCTTCCAGGAGGAACACAGCCTGCTGATGCCTTGATGAGAGCCCAGGGAGACCTATGTCCGACTTCTATCCTGTAGAACTGTAAGAGGATATCATGTTTTAAGCTGCTAAATTTGAGGTTATTTGTACAACAGCAATTTGAAAACAGATACACAGGGAGAGACATGAACTGACATACTATTTATTTTTAAATAATTTTTGCTACAAGAATGGGAGCAGAGAGATTGATTAGGAGTTGTTACTATGGCCCCGGGGAGAAGTTTAGAAGAAGGTGATGACAGTAGAGATGAAAAAACATAGATTCCTGATATATTTTAAAGATAGGACCCGTGACACTACTTCTGGAATGCAAAAATACATTCACATAATGGAAGACAAGGAGAGGTGTCAAGGATCTAGTGTGACTACAGCCTTTTAGCTTGAGCAGTTGGAATTGCAATGGAAAAAAACATAGTAAGCGGGGAGTGGGGGGGAGGTTTTGAATGGGTAAAATATTTTATACAGATGTATTTGGAGCCTGACAGGCTGATCAAAATTATGTAATTAGCATCTCTTCCTAAGACCCATATGGATTATGGAAGACATGAACATATGGCATAATGAGGCATGATTGTAAGCTCTGTGTATGGAAGAAGTAGGCTGTGTGTGTGTTGTGTGTTGAAAGACCCAGAAATAAAAATGTATTCAATAATGCAATGTTGGAGGTAAATAGATGGGATGCCTCCATAGCTGACAGATCAATTGCATAGATTGTTATAGGTCACACATATTGAGATCAATCATATATATTGGTATAGGTCACACATATTGAGTGCTAATTGTGTGCCAAGCATATTACTGTGTGCCCTGTACAGTGTATCCCCCAAGCCTTCCAGCAAACCCATGAGGTGTGGGGTATTTTATTATCATTCTCTGTTCTAGACAGGGACCCTGAGGCTCAGAGGTTAAAAACATGCCTAACATCATCCAGCTGGTGAGTAGAGTAATGAGGTGAGTTGAGGTAGTCTGGGACTGAGGCGGCTTTCTTTCCCAGAGTGTTCTACTGCTCAGACAGCAAGCAGACCTCAGAGGAGACTGGATCTACTTCTGGTTCAGCCCATCAGAAAAGGGCAGGCTAAGGAATAGCATCAGGCCTCTGGAGAGAAGTCCAGCAGAAGGATATAGTGCTGGTGTGTGCTACGGGGCAGGGGTTGGTGTTTTCAGATCCAGTCACACATATTGCCCAAATGATGGCACCGAGAGGTGAGATTTGGTCCTTCAACTCCCAACTCCAAGCCCAAGAGCACCAGTTGGCGGCTTCTATCCCCAGGATTGGACATCGCTGAAAAGGCAGCTGCTGGGCAGGGAAGAAAGCATTTTTGGCGATACTTTGATGAGGGAATAGATAATACAACCCAAGTGACCTAATTAAATGACGGTTTGTCAAATCCTGCCCAACTTCACAGTTTGAACAGTAGTGTTGGAAAGGATATGGCCACCTCTTTGGTGAGGCTAGAAATTGAGAAAAAGGGCGTGCTTGCTCTGGGACTCTCAGGGTCTGCAATTCCTTTCATGTGGGTACATCTCATTAAAAAACTGAGACTTGCACTATCTGATTAATTCTCTCCTGGAAAATGGAATTCTAATATTCTCTTCTCACTCCTTCAACTCTTTGATATAAGCTGTATGTTCATAGGAGTTCAGAGACTATCTAGAGAGAGAAATTTTTATTTTATGACTGTGTGTGTGTGTGTGTGTGTGTGTGTGTGTGTGTGTGTGTGTGTAACAGGGGAGAGGATTAGATCTTGTTCACTGCTTTCTATGTGTAGGACAGTAGAGCACATGGTCTAATAGCACAGGTTCTGCTCAGCCTATAATCCCAGCACTTTGGGAGGCCGAGGCAAGTGGATTGCCTGAGCATGGGGGTTCGAGACCAGCCCCGGTGGCAACTTGGTGAGACCTCATCTCTACAATAAATCAAAAATTAGCCAGGCGTGGTAGCGTGTGCCTGTAGTTCTGGCTACTTGGAAGGCTGAGGTGAAAGGATCGCTGGAGCCCAGCAGGGCAACGCTGGGGTAGCCCTGAGCGTGCCACTGCACTCCAGCCTGGGTGACAGAGCGAGACTCCAACTCAAAAAAAAGAAAAAAAAAGCACAGGTTCTGGGGTTGGAAGACCTAGATTTGATTTTTGCTCTGCCTTTGCCAACTGGGAGATTCTGGGAAAGTTATGTAACTTCTCTAAGCCTCTCTTGTCTCATTTATAAATTGGGCATAATACTAATACATACTTGGTATGATTTTTGCGAGGATGAAGTGAAGTAAGCCTCATGCACTTGGAGATGCCAGCACAAGGTAGGTGCCTAGTCAGTGTTGCTTCTCATTGTTGATGGTGCTGTTGCAGTATCATGTGTGCCACAAGGCAGTATGAGCCAAGGGCAGAAGTTTCTGAATGGTGGTGATCCACAGTCACCTAATTGTGAGGGACATAGAGAACCACAACTATGTTTTTGATAAGAGATTAATCACACTTTGTTACTTTCTGTTTGCTAGAAGAATAATTGTTTTTCTGTGTAGAAATGTTGAAAATGTTTTCCTGCTGAGACCTTAATGTTTTCAGAGAATGGGGTTCAAAGTTCTAGTGGATTATCTGAAATGAGATAATGGATGGGAAGAAAAATCTTTCAATATGAGGGAGGACTCCAGAAAACTCGGAATTATCTTTTGGAGGGTGGACCCCTCGTAGTACATTCGGAGTTTGTTCCTCCGGATCAAGCGGTCAACCAGAGTTTTTATCTGGAAATTTTGAGAAGGTAGTGTCACAATTTGCAGAAGAAACATCCCGAGTTGGCACATAGGTGACGGGTTCTTCCACCATGACAACATACCTGCCCACACCATGCTGAGTGTTCAGCAGTTGTTTTTTTTTTTCAGGACCAAGAGATTAAGTGGCTCTTACAAGGGAAAAGGGAAAGGGTCTGTGGAGAGAGAGAGAGGAAGTGGGAGAGAAGCGGGGAGAGAGCTGCAGAGAGGGAGAGAGCGACAGAGAGAGACAGAAAGACCGAGAGAGAGGAACAGAGACCGAGAGAGGGAAAGAAAGAGAAACCAAGAGTTGTTCAGCAGTTTTTTGACTCAAAACAGCATGACCCCCCATGCCCCACCCTCCCTATTCACCCAATCTTACCCCCTAGAGACTTTTTTGTTTCCCCCAGATGAAAAAAAGTTCTCAAAGGGAAATGTTTTGCCCGTGTGGAGGAGGTGAAACAAATGGCAGAGACACTGAAAGGCATCAAACTTCACAAACTGTTTTGAGCAGTGGAAAAAGCATCTCAATGGGTTTATTGCATCAAGCGGAGAGAACTTTGAAGGCGACTAAAGTTTAAACGTGAAGAATAAATACACAGTTTTTAATTAATAAATTCTGGGGTTTTTTGGGGTTCCTTCTCATATATCTGGAACAGAGTTGGTGTTCAAAAATGTACATCGAAAGTTGAAGGAATAACCAGCAAATGGTAATAAAACAATGAATGTGTAGAGAGAGTGTTTCTGTGCTGAACACTTTGCTCCTGTGAATTTTCCCCTTTCAGCCTCATGACAGCCCAGTACCTTGGAATTTGAGAGACGTAGAGTCATGTGTTCAAGGAGTGAAGCCTGAATTTGAGCTCACTTAAGGCTCAAAACAATTGGCATAAAGGATATTTAATACCTAAAAAATATTAAATGCAAAAAGGAAGAAATTGTATAACTCACAAATGAAAGTGAAACAGAAGAGAAGGAAAGAGAAGAATTCCTAAGTGTTTCTCTTTTTTTCACAGCTTGTAAATGCACTGAAAACTGTGTCTACATTTCAAGTCCAGATTGTTGATTACAAGTATAAGTAAGTAATAGCCACTCTCAGGCAGATGCTGTCGGCTCTTGCTTGGATGAGTTCATGGGGGATAGAAAGTATTTTCCAATGGGAGCTATTGGCACTTGCAGTCTGGAAGGGACAAGCAGACACCATCAGTGAATGAAGTGGGCAGGTAAGGACCCTGGGCACAGGGCGCAGTTGCCACTCAACTTTCTGGGACCTGATGTTGTGACATCATCTCATGTTTCAAGAGAAGTAATACATCCAGATTTTCATTTAAGTTTCTGAATGTAAAATTTGACAACTAATTCTGAATTTGAAAAAAATGTCATAGGCCTAATAGGCCCTGCTAGCTACAATGTTTCAACATCTCACCTAAACTTATTTCTATGGGAATAATCTGAGGGGCATGAAATAACATGAGATTTTTAAAAAAGTCTTATTAAAAATTTACATTTTTAAAAAAACTCTGATACAACTAAAAGCCTTAGAAAGACAGAATACAACTATTATTCACTGTCTAGGGAATTCCTGTTCCTGGCATTACACGTTCCTGGTGAAAGCAGTATGTGTTCCTGGTTGAAAACTTAAGCAGTATAGAAGAGATCAAAAGGAAAAGTGAAAACTTGCCCACTCACATTCACAGCTGTGCTTTCCAAATTTAACACTACAAGCAGTTTCTTTCTATTAAAAAAAAAGTATCCATGCATAGAACTCACTGCATAGAACATAAGCATGGGAGCTTTGTACCTCATCCATCATATAGCAATTCATTGATACAATGAATCTTTATTAGGGACCCCTGAGCTGGTTGCCAGGTTTAGCAGTAGGAATCCAGTTGTAGAGGATGGCATGGCTCTTGTCTTGAGGACCTTGGACACTGAATGCAGATAATGGCAATTGTGAGAACAGCTCCCTTTCATTGAGATTTACTGTCATGCTTCATTGCTTTATCTCATCTCTCGCTTTCACCAGTCCGGAGGTTGTCTTACAAATTATGCTGCGCTGTGCTGACCGCCTTCATCACCACATGAGGAAATGTGTGAGATGAGACAGGGCCCCGGCATTAGCCTGAAAGAACCAGGGAGGGCATCTTGGAGGCCGTATCATTGACTGACTTTTAAGGATATGTGGGAGTTTCCCAGATGAATCGAGAATGACAATAAATTTGAACCTCGCCAATCTGAGGGAAATGTTAATCATATGTTAGCATAGGGATTTGTGAGTGATGATCCACGGGCGTTCCCACAACTGGTAACTCCAGGGGTATGTTCACCTGGGTGAATGGCCACCCTTCCATTGGCATCAGTTCACATTCCCGGAGAAACTGAGGCACATGTTCCTGGGGTGACACGACACGACGCATCACCACACCACACCACACCACACACACACACACACACACACACACACACACAGACACACACACACAGGTAGTGTCTTTTCCTATGGGGTTTTTTGTTGTTAGCTGATTTAAGAGGGAATTCACCTTCCCTTCTTAGATCCAAAATAATCTTGACCATTTATTTTTCTTTACTTTGGACAAAGAGAGACTTGGAGATCTCATTCTATTCTGTTTATTCAGAATGTCGCTCTTATTCCAGCATGTCTTCCTAGCCTCACTTCAGTGAACTGTTTTGGGACTGATTTTTCAGTTCAGAGTTTGCACATCTGTCAGTATCTTGGATTTAAAGAATACTTATACAAGCCCAACATGCATAAAATTGTGGATTAGTCTATTACAAAGGCAGGATAATGCCTTGGTGGTATCTGAGATCATTTTGAGTGTACCCAGATGGCACTGAATAACTCAGATCGCACAAGGAGAAATCTTTCTTTTTTTTTTTTTTTTAAAAAAAATCCTTTCATTATCTTAAGGAAGTAGATTTTAGTTTGGTACTAGCATGTCACAACATCTCTTTACACTTGGTAATTTCCCTCTTCATGAAGAGAGAGCAGGCTCAGTGCTTTGTCTTGTAAAGGAATCTACCTAGGTATGAATAACACTTTTTAGTTGGGTTAAATCTATTTTTACATTTTTTCTTGATGTCATGTGTTACTGGTTTTCCATTTAAGACAGCTGTTTAAGTTTTTTTCAAAGATAAATGTTACTCAGAGCTAAATAGACTTTACTTAAAAAAATGTTAATTATTAAGAAGTTAAGCTAATCAGCCACGCATGGTGGGGCATGCCTGTAATCCCAGCAGCTTAGGAGGCTAAGGTGGGAGGATTGCTTGAGTCTAGGAGTTTGAGGCTACAGTGAGCCATGATCTTGCCACTGCACTCCAGCCTGGATAACAGAGTGAGACCTTCTCTCTGAAAAAGAATAAAGAAAGAAATCAACTACTAGAGTGTGCTTGAAACTGGCAAAAATGCTTAAAGGTGGAATGTGGTTTAAAATGAGAAATACGCTTGTATAAATATTGTTACCATGAATCATGAGTTAAGCCAACCTAATACTTCTGTCTTCTCCCATCTCTCTTGTGCTGTTCTATATGTTCACAGAGAACTTGGATTTTTAGATCAACTAAGGATCACACACAACACGGACATATTTATTGGCATGCACGGAGCTGGTCTTACCCATTTACTTTTCCTTCCAGACTGGGCTGCTGTATTTGAACTGTAAGTGTTGGGGGGGCATGTTAACATTGAGACAGCTAATAATGCTTTTTATGCATGCCAAGACTTTCATCCTGAGCATCGAAAGGCTTAATATTTAATCATTCCAGAGAAGTCACATCCTAAAGGCATCTGGAAAGAAAAAGACCTAAAGCTAAAAAATGTCAAGCCTGCAGCCTGCTTCTGCACTTAGTAAGCAAACTCCTCCCTCCTCTTCCCATCTCCAGCATGGTACAGAAGATGTGAGTCTCTGGTTTCCTTACTCTGAGTTCCTTACTCTGGCATGCCTCAAACTCTGAGCATCTTTCTGCCAAAAGTATAATGATTGTGTTAAAGAGAACCTGAACCAGGCATGGTGGGGAGCATCTGTAGTCCCAGCTACTCAAGCGGCTGAGGCAGGAGGATAGCTTGAGCCCAGGAGTTCGAGGCTACAGTGGGCTATGATATTGTTACTGCAGCTCCAGCATGGGTGACAGAGCAAGTCCTTGTCTCAAAAAATAAAAATAAAAAAAGAGGCTCTGTATGTCTTGTGCACAATATAGCTCCAAAACACAAGCTACCCATTTCACCTGGTGCTCACTAATCCTGTACGTAGGAAACTGGGGCCCTTGGGTGCGAATGACTTGCCTGGGCACTCCTGTAACTTGGTGGTTGGTTGTGGAGATTTGGCTTTCCCTCCCTTAATAATTCTACTTAACACGATGCCCCATTTTAGTTCTGGATGCACTAACAGCAATTCCTGTTTTGCTCCTTTGTGTCTAAATATCTGGATTCCATGGTTTCATTTTTTAAATGACTTAGTATGAAGATAGTAGACTATTTAGGAAAAAAGTTGTTATGAACGTCTAATGTCCTACAAAACATTAAAAAATATATACACGTTATATGTTAAAGAAATGGCTAGGTCATTGTGGATTCTATCTCCATTCATTTCTCCTAGAGAGAGGGAAGGACAGAAGCAAGCAGGGAGGAAGGGAGAGAAATGCAACTGAGAGAAAGTTCAAGCCTTGGAGTCTAATCAAGTTGGGTTCAGTTTTTGCTTCTTTCGAGATCTAGTTCTATGACCTTGGAAGTGTTACCCACCACTTCCATATGTGTAAAGACAGGGGATCAAGTGGTAATATCAAGTTCATAGGTAGTAGGCCCTATTGAATGAGACCAGTCCCTTTCATTTCTTTTTTGTTTTTCTCTTTTTTTTTTTTTGAGTAAGGGTCTCACTCTATCACCCAGGCTGGAGTACGGTGGCACCATCACGGCTTGCCGCAGTCTTGACCTCCTAGTTCACGCAGTCCTTCAGCCTTCCGAGTAGCTAGGACTACAGGCGCTTGCCACCACACCTGGATATTTTTTTTGTTTGTTTATTTATAGAAATGAGGTCTCACTATGTTTCCCAAGCTGGTCTGAAACTCCTGGGCTCAAGCAATCCTCCTACCTTGGCCTCCCAAAGTGCTAGGATTACAAGCATGAGCCACTGCACCCCCACCTCTCTTCATTTCTTAATCCTATTGTGTTTTCTGAAAATTACTTAGTTCAGAGAATATTTTAAAATTCTCTTTCCGAGTCTTGTTTACTGTTTATACAACCTTTAGCAAGGACTATTTGGGAGGTGCTTTTTTTTTTCCCCAAGAGAATTGTCGATTAAGCAAAAACCCTGGACAAAAGCTTCATGTTGTGACACTCTTGTGTCCTTAGGTACAACTGTGAAGATGAACGCTGTTACTTAGACTTGGCCAGGCTGAGAGGCATCCACTACATCACTTGGCGGAGGCAGAACAAAGTCTTTCCTCAGGATAAGGTGAAGTTCAATCACAAAACTCACCTTGTTTCATTTTTAATTGGTTGAAAGTGTCTAATTATTAATATGAAAAACGTCCATTGAACTTCAGTGCAAAGATGAACTGTTCTTCCTGTTCTTCTCTGGAATGTTGAATTGTTGGCATTGTATTTATGAATTGGAGAAAAAGGGAAATTAAGCACTCTATGTCTTTAAGGTTAAGACTGCTTTGTGAAATTTGGGCTTAGAAAGATCTATTCGATTATATATAGAAGGGATCAACAAACTATAGCCCCTATAGGCAAATGTAGCCCACCATCTATTTTTGTATATAAACAACAGCACACTTCACTGACAGAGTTGAGTGACTGTGACCGAGACCTTATAGTTTGCAGAGCTGAAGATTTTTTATCTGATCCTTAACAGCAAAAGTGTGCTGACCTCTGATGTAGAACATAAGTGAGTTGCCTTGGCCATAGTAAAATCATTTTCTTCTTGTAGAGAGAACCATGCCCTGCATGAGTTATGCATTTGTGTTTGGTTTGTTTTTGCAGGGCCACCATCCAACGCTGGGAGAGCACCCCAAGTTTACCAACTATTCTTTCGATGTGGAAGAATTTATGTACCTGGTCCTTCAGGCTGCAGACCACGTACTGCAACACCCAAAATGGCCATTTAAGAAGAAACGTGATGAATTATAAATGCAGAGTCTGTTTGCAAAGAGAGATTTGCAGTTAAATCGGCAAAACAACCTGCTATTTCCTAGCCCCAAATGACCTTTTCTACACCAAAACATACCTTCGAGATGTTATGGGTTTTATAGTCTTTAAGTGTTTCCTATGATTTTTTTGAGACATTGCTATTTATTAATAGCAATAAATTTGCACTGAAAGCTTTACTTTTTGTGTTCAAAAATTGAGTATGGGTTCACTGGTGTATTCTTGTTAAGGATACCAAAGTTTTCAACTTTTCAGCTTTAGAATTTGTAAGTGTTTTTGTAGAATATGTGATTATGATTCTGGAGTGTTTCCATTTGTTTATGATATATTTGGGTAAATTTCCAACTGCTCTTGTGTTTGTTATAATCTGTTTGTAACACCGATTATGGTAGGACAGGAAAATGTGCACAATACACGCATGCATGTGTGCGCGCTTGTGTACACACACACACACACACACACACACACACACACACACACACCTGTTATTCTCAGCACCAAGCTATAGGACCATGTTCTAAATCAGAGATTAGTCAGCTCCAGGTTGCATGCATCAAGAACCTGAATAAATCATACCACTGTATTCATTTATATTCACACATTTCATACTCAAATCATGTTTCCAAAATGTAGTGACTATGTGTGATGAAAACAAAGTAGAACATTCTGTAGGACCGTTTTGCATACCTTCCAGGTGGTTTCCACTGATTCCTTCTTAGCCATGGAGAACATTTAGGTTGAACTTATATATGAAACAGTGGTATTCATTATGCAAGTATTTGTAACCTGTGTGTATGCATCTACCTCTGTTAGCATGAAAGTATTGCAGTGTTTGGTTTCACAAACTTCAAATTAGCCTCATGAGGAGAATTTTTCCTATAAAAAAGTAAGATACATGAGAAAGTAAAGTTATGTGAATTATTCAATCAAAATGAAAAAGAAGCCATAAGAAAGTGCCATTGATTAAAAAGAATATCTGGATTAGAGTCCCACTCTTTGAATGGGATTCATTTTCTTACTGTTTATGAACTTTGAATTTAGCAGTCAGAAACCATAAGTTTATTTTAATGAAAAAAAATGTGAAGTTTACATTTTATTAACACTTGAGTAGTCTAATTTAGAGACTAGTTTCTTCTGTTTTTTAAAGTAGGGGTTTAGCAAACTGCAGCAAAGCTAAATAATTTTTTTTCCATTCTAGAGTTGTAAAAAAAAAGAATATTCATTAGAGAAATGGCAAACAAAACAAAATATCTGCACCCTCACAGGAAAAGTTTGCTGACCCCTGCTTTAAAGGATTATGAACAGTCTTCTAGAATTTAGAAATATTTATTAAAATATCTATAAAGAAAATAGTGAATCACTGTAGCAATAGCTTTGATTTGGGTCTTAAAATTGTATTAAAAGAGTTATACTATGGATTTTAAAATGACAGGTATTGCTATTCTTTTTTGCGCAAAATACTGAGTAACCACTGGGAAAATGTTTCACATGAAATGAATTGTAAAGGTCATGTTGAAATTTGAATCATTGGCCGGGCTCGGTGGCTCAGCCTGTAATCCCAGCACTTTGGGAGGCTGAGGTGAGCAGTTTGCCTGAGCCTGAGGGTTTGAGATCAACCCAGGCAACTTGGCGAGACCTTGTCTCAACAATAAATCAAAAATTAGCCGGATGTGGTAGCGCATGCCTATAGTTCAGTCTACTTGGAAGGCTGAGGTGGAAGGATCACTGGCGCCCAGAAGGCCAACGCTGGGGTGGCTGTGAGCATGCCACTGCACTCCAGCCTAGGCAATGGAGTGAGACGCCAACTCAAAAAAAATTTGACTCAACAAGGTATCAATATCTGAAAAAAGTTTTCTATACTTCTTACCTCATTTAAAGAAGCACATGGAAATGAGATTCTGTAGACTAGCAAGAATTTCAGAAATGGAGTACATTTTCATAATATAACTATTATTTTGAATATTTTGCATTTATGGAGTGAGTGCATTTTATATAAACAAGACACTTTACCTTTTGTCAGACTTTTTGTGGGAACAAAATGTCTTCCAATTGTTATGAAATTTAAAATGTAAAGACTGCTCTTTTTATTCATTAAGTCTTAAAAGGGATACATTTCATTGTTTGTACATTTTGCATGTGGCTTTGGAATAAATCTTTATATTTTATTTGAATATCAGAACCATTTCTAAAGTTTTCTGTGTCTGAATGTTATATGCTACTTTTTTGAGCAATTTGTTAGCTCTGAGCTTATAAAAGCTAAGCCTGATAAAAAATTTTGTTTAAGCAAAAATGATCTCTTACATGAATTTAGCAGTTTATTATATGATGCTTTTACAAATATTACACTGTATTATCTTAGCAAAACATCGCAAGAATGGTGGCCTGCCATTTTTCATGTAAAAATCAGATGCTGTTCAAGGACTTCTCTAAAGATTACAGAGCTTCTGATTCCATATTCAGAATCTTCCATTTGTTTATTCACTTGCTCACTCACCTGCTGACTGAGCCAAAACTACATGCCAATTACTGTTCTAGGTTCTGGGAATACAGCAATGAAACGAATAGACAAAAGTCATTGCCCTCATGGAGCTTGTATTCCAGCGGAGAAGACACGAATAAGTAAGGTATACAGGGTGCCAGATCCTGATACATGCTACGAAGTACATTGAAGCAGGAAAGAAGGCTGTGGTGTCTGCAGTGAGGTGGAGTCCTACATGCTTAGGTAGGGGATCAGGGAAGTCTTCATTGAGGTGACATCTGAGTCAAGACTGGAAGGAGGTGAAGGATGGACCGTATGCAACAAACTGGGCAGAAGAGCATTCCAGGAAGACAGCAGCATATGCAAAGGCCCTGAGGCAGAAGTGTGCTTGGAAACCAGCACAGTTGGTGTGATCAAGGGGCAGCAGAGTAGGAAGTGAGGTCAGATCATGGGACAGGGGTGCAGATGACAAGGTTCTTGAACTTTGATTTTAATGAGATGGAATCCTTTGCTGGGATCTCAAAAAAAAAGGAGTAGAGACCTGATTTGGCTTTGAAAAGGGTAACTGTAGCTGTTATGCTAGGAATAGACTGTAGAAGGATGTCTTAGGTTGTGTTCTCTGGAAAACAGACTCTGGGATGGAGATGTGCACGCAGGTGGCTTTGGTGGGAGGGTTCTCGTGATTGACACCTGTGAGGAAGTAAGATACCTATGCTTGGGCAGAGGGAGAAATTGAAGGAGAATGCAGAAGAAGTTGAGACCTCAGCGGGACTCTGTGGAGCTGGGGTGGTCTTTTAGTGAGGTCCCAAAATGAGGCAAGAGATGGCCATATCAGTGAGCTATCAAAGAGGAAAGTAACCTTGGCAAGGCAGTTCCCTTGAGATGAACGGGAGAGGAGCTCAGCCGTGATCCATCTGCAGTCAACACTTGCAGCAATTCCAGGAGGCAGAACCTCAGTCTCAAAGGGGGATCTCTATTTGCATCATCCTCTATGCAGCCACTATGGCAGGGGTCGCCCAACCCTCAGGCCGCAACCGGTACCGGTCTGTGACCTGTTAGGAACCCGATTGCACAGCAGGAGGTGAGTGCCCATGAGCCGAAATCCAACTACTGTCAGATCGGAAGCAGCAATAGATTCTCATAGGAGAGTGAACCCTATGAGGAACTGCACGTGCGAGGGATCTAGGTTGTGCGCTCCTTGTGAGAATCTGATGCCTGATTCCTCACCCCCACCATCCATAGAAAATGTTTCTTCCGTGAAACCAGTCCCTGGTGCCAAACAGGTTGAGAACCGCTGCACTACAGGACAAGGGTTGTGCCATTTAGCTTGTCCCACTCTCCGTTCGGCTTCCTGTTTGCTGGAAGTTAGAGTTAAAGTTTCTTTTAGATTCAGATTTCATTTTTTTCTTAAAAAATACTTATAGTTGATACGGTGTGCTTCAAACTATGGAAGGCTAGGGGAAGGGTCAGCAAACTTTCTCTGTAAAGGATCAGATAGTTCACATTTTAGACTTTGTGACCCATGCACGGTCTCTTGCATATTTACCCCGCCCCCCCCAATCTTTTAAAAATGTAAAAACCAAAGAGCAGAGAGGTTAAGGAACTTGCCCAAAGTCGCACAGCCAGTAAAAGTACGAGATAATTTGGCTATAGGGCTTTCTTTGTGAAAAAATTTAAAAAGGGAAGTTTACATGTAATGAAAGAAGAAAGGAAGGAAGGAATGAGGAAGGCAAGGAAGGAAAGAAAAGAAGGAAGTAGGAAGGGAGGAAAAGTGAAAGGAGAAATTTGTTGGGGGATTTATGGAATTGAGAGAACAGTCCTGGAATTAGGACTTTTCTTGCCGTTACAAAAGACTTTTCTTTGCAACATAGTAAAGAGAAAACTCGGAAAATACTTGCCGCCTCTAAGCTAGGAGCATATAATCAAATCAACTTAGGTATGATCACCCTGGAGAAACCAGTTGTTTAAAATAACCCACTCCCGAGCAAGGGCTATTACCAGAACCCTTTACTACCTTTGTTCTCTTTTAGCTTACTGGGGCATGTCAAAAGACGTTATAACTATCCTTGTCAAAACAGAAGTAGGTTAGGGCATTTTGCTCGCAGTTGGTTTCTTGTTGTGCAGGTCCTCGCTTTGGCTCGGAGTGCACAAGTGACCACGAGGTGGCAGTCAAGCCCTTTCAAATGGCCTCTTGGGTGCCTGCAGGCCAGTGTGTGAATCGCATTGTGGATTCCAGGCACCTGTGCGCCAAGAGTAAGGCCCTGCTTCCGCATGTGATGGAATTTTTTCATTCCTGATTTGAGGGAACATACAAACATGATCATGAACGATTTTCAGAATTAAGTGTGGAATTTCTTAGCTGCAGCCAATAGCTGAATCCTGTAAATATCTCCTGATCATCTTGTGGGAATAGCGCTTGGCTCTGGGGACAGCAGTCCTAGTGATAGAAGCTATTCAGGGGAATGCATTCTCATTGACTTGCTAGGGAATTTGGTTGGGACTCAAGCTCTAGTTAAGTAGCTAGTACGTGAACTCTTTAATTCCTTTTAGGAGGCAATTTCCTTCTTGTATTGGTCTTATAGGTTATCATGTACATAATTGCTGTTATCAAGCTGAAGAGTTCATTGAAGGCTAGAAGCCCAAGAATTAGAAAAGGCTAATTAAGGAGTGCTGTATCATTTCCTGGCCTTTTGGCTAAGATCAAGTGTCATATTAAGGAGTGTTGTTTAGAATAAATAAAGGAGTGTTAACACTGAGTCTTTTTGTGGCCATGACCTAGTACAGTGCTCAAAGTATTTTATGTCATTTATTCTTCACAGAATTTGGGGATTTTTAAAAAAAAATTTTATTAAATGGGCCTTGAAGTTCCTTCATGGCATCTGTTCATTTCACGATGGTTTGTTGACACCCACCAGTAGCAAGCACTCTCAGACCAAGAGAGAAGCATTCCCGGGAAAAACAGTGTTGTATACACCAGAGAACATGGA